TACCTAGACTTGTAGAACATACTACTGTCTTGAACCCTTTAACATTAAAGGAATGTGATAAGGATTTCCTATACTAGTCTTCAAAGTTTCAACATGTGTTTGACACTATCAAGGCTCTTACTATGTTTGCACAATGCTTAACAGTCATTAACCACCTGGATCCTAGTAACAATAAGATCTATCTCTACACAGATGCCTCAGATCTCTGTACAGGCACAGTTCTCTCCTTTAGGCCTTCACTGGACTTAGCTTGTCCTATTGCTTATAACTCTACTCCCTTGAAGCCTGTAGAGTGTAACTACCTAGTCTACAAGAAGGAATTGCTCACCATTATGAAAGCTCTTAAAAAGTTCTACTCTGACCTCCTGGGAACTACATTCACTGTATTCATAGATTACAAGACACTCACAAGTTTCCTTTCCTAGAGAGATCTCTTGTACTAACAAGTATGTTAGTAAGAATTCCTGGCTCAATATGTTTTTGATGTTCAATATGTGCCTAGCAAACAAAACAAAGCTACTAACACTCTGTCCAGACTTCTAGATAAGGAATTCTCCCCCCCTACAGTAGTATCCTCCTGCCTTACAATCTCTGCAGATGAACAATTACTTCTTCAAATCCAATCATTCTACAAAGATGACCCATTCTGTACTAAGCTCCTCTCTCAGCCTCTTGAATCCCTTAGTGTTTGAGTTAAGAACAGTCTACTGTTCTTGAGTGACAGGCTTGTTGTTCTGTGTGTCAATCAACTCTGCAAACATTTCTACAAACTCACTCATGACTCTATGGGCCACTTTAGGATTGACAAGACTTATGTAACACTGAAATCATTATTCTACTAGCTAAACATGTATTCTAACCTTGAAAATTCATACATTAAGTAATGTGACTCATGTTAGAGGTATAAATCATCCACTCAAAAACCTGCCAGTCCTTTGTACCCTCTTACTGTGGCTGACTAGTGTAGCAATACAATTGCTATTAACTTTATAGGTCCTCTGCCTCCAGACTACAGGTTCAACAGAATTGTAACTATTACTAACCAACTCAGTAGTAACATTCACCTACTCCCTATCTGTATAGGCCAAACTCCTAAAGAGTTTGCCTGTGTTTTCTTTGACAGATGGTATTGTGAAAACAGTCTTCCTCTCAACATTATCTTAGATCAGGATCACCTCTTTACCTCCAAGTTCTGGAAGGCTCTTCATAAAATTTCAGGGGTTAAACTGAAGATGTCTACAGCTTATTACTCTCAAACAGATGGAATCTCAGAACATACAAACAAGTCAGTCATCCAGGCACTTTGATTCTACATCAACTGACAACAAAAGGGCTGGTACTGTACACTACCTTGTGTTCAGTTCAAGCTTATGAACACTAAAAATGTGTTAACAGGATTTTCCCCTTTTCAACTTTACCTTAGCTAATGCCCCTGTCTGATCCTACCTCTTGTACCCTTACCAGACAACAAGCCTACCCTTCTAGAGGACAAGCAAGCTCATTCTCTCATCCAGCAGCTTGATCTTAACATTGTAGAAGTATAAGACTCTCTCATCCTAGCTAAAACTTCTTAAGCTCATACTGTAAACTGGAAGAGGAGTCCAGAAGACTCCTATACTCCTAGTGATTTTGTTATACTATCTACCTTCCATCAGTGTCAAGATTACACTCAGAGTGGTGACAATTGTGTAGCCAAATTCATACTAAGATGGGACAGTAAGTACTGTGTCCTCAAGGCTTTCCCAGAACACTCTACTTACTAGCTTGAATTGCCAAACTCTCACACTAAATTTTCTACCTTCCATGCATCTTAGCTCAAACAATACTATACAAATGATCCTGTGTTATACTCTACACATGAACTTGCACAACCTCCTCCTGTCCTCACAGAGGAAGGACTCAAAGAGTAGGAAGTAGAAGCTATAATTGATCAACAAAGACAAGGACACAGCCTCTAATACCTTGTTTGCTAGAAAGGGTACAGTCCAGAAGACAATCTTTGGTTGCCTAAGTAGGAACTAGACAACTGTACAGTATTAGACTAATGGGAACAATGGTTACACACTGACTCTCATACATAGCCCTCCTCAATCCTCAATTTCCATTCTACAAAACACTTGTAGAGTGTGTTCAACTAATGCCTTCTCCTCTCTTATCTTCATCTTTGTATTCAACACATCTTTTCTCTTACAGACATTCTCAATTTCCATTCTAATATATCCCTCCTTCTTCAATCTGTTCCCTGCCTTACCTGTTCCTTGCCCCCTATATTTATTCACACACTCTTACACTACTCTTCCCTTTCCCCTCTTTCTCTCTTCTTCCTAGTAGGGAAGAGTGTAACCTTGTAGAGGTTACACACAATCTGTTAGCCTCATCACATGACTTATCTTATAAATAGCTCTAAGACATTCCTGAGACTGTATCTCTTCTTGTACCTCCTTCAATACCAGTCAATTGCCTGTTCCACAACCTGAGTGAGACATTGTCTCCAAAATGGAAGAACAAAAGTACTTATAACAAAAGTACCTTCTCTGTTCTGAGCTCAATTCTTAACACATGAACATGAAACTTTCTGTAATACACTTTATTATACTTATATTTAATTTAGGAATACATTTTGAGGTTGAAAATAATTTATTGAGTGTAGGGGGAGCTAGAGAGAAATAGTTAGTTTTACACATTTTAACCCTCTCTTAGCAAAGCAGAATAAGCACATAATTTACAACATATT